TGAAGCAGAAACAAGAAAGTTAACTCTTTTAGCTCCCAAGACTGGTTTCAGGTGACATTTGCTCAAATAGCAGAGCTCAAACTCTGCAAGAGGTAAGTATGACAAGCCTTTTTCTGAGAACATTAAGGATGAAATACAGAGCTGAAAAAACACCAGTACAAACCTCAACATCTCCTGCCAATAAAAGATTCATCTCTCTCAGAGAGTGGTTGAGTCTGCTTCTTTGGAGGTCTTTAAACAGAGACTGGATGGCCATCTGTCGGGGGTGCTTTGATTGGGAGTTCCTGCATGGCAGGGGGTTCAACTGAATGGCCCTTGGGGTCTCTTCCAATTCTATGATTCTACAACTGAGACCTCTCTTGCCCAATTCTGCAAATTATTGATCTTGTCAGAAAATTTCCACTTGCTCTTCAGGTATCTTTAATCAGATTCTAAAAGAACATTCTCTACTTGACAAGTTCAGCAGTTAGGGTATTTCTTTTTATTAAATAAATAAATAAACAAGCAAGCAAGGGTATTTATTTAATATTTGGGTAATTAGTTTACACTTTGTAAACCACTTAGGGGGTGCTTAAGTGCACGGATAAGCGGTATAGAAATGTACTTGCTGTTGCTATTCGGTAGATTATTACAGCACCACACAAACAATGCAAGAAAGTGGCATACTATTTTGCTTTTTAAAAAAATCAATATGCTCACTCCTTATTTCTAAGAAATACTGGGGCTATGAGTTCATGGTCAAGCTAACTACCACTCTATACACCTATGTCCAACCCTCTCTCAACTTTCCTTGAAGTGCAGTGACCAGGACTGTACAGCATATTCCCACTGTAGTTGTTCTACAGCAAGGGTAGGCAACCTTTCCCCTTTAAGGGCCGAGGGACTTCAGCTCCCAGAAGCCTCAGCCATGTTGGCCAGTAGTCCCATGTTGGCCAATAGCTCCTGGGATTCTGGAAGCTGAAGTCCCTTGGCCCTTAAAGGGGAAAGGTTGCCTACCCCTGTTGTACAGATTTGCACAGAGGCATTATAAAAATGTTGAATTTTATTCTCAATTTCTAATTATACCCAACACAGAGCTTAACAGCTGCACTTTGGCTCAGTGTCTTTCATCATGCTATCCAACACATCTTTCTTAGCTGGGCACTGCCACCTCAGATCCTATGAGCGCATGTATGAAATTGGGATTTTATTTATTTCCTTTGCCTCAGTATGTATGACTTTATGCTTGCTTACTGTACTGCATTTGCCATTTTAACATAGATTCTGTCAGTCTGGAGAGATTGTTTTGGAACTCTTCGTAGTCACTTCTGTTTTAACTATCCAAAGTAATTAGGGTGTTGTTAACAACCTTGTCAATTCACTGATCACCCTAAACTGCACATTGTTTACACAATACACTGATTCCAATAGAGATTCAAGGAGGACACCACTGTTTACATCCCTCCATTTTCTCTCCATCTTTTTAATGCTCTGCTACCTGTGCTTTAACCAGTTTCATGAAACATCTCCTCTTATACTATTACTGCTAGGTTTAACCAGGAACCCCAGGGAGGAACTTGTTCACTTGAACATTCAAATCAACATTTGTCAATGTCTACTTGACTACTTCTACAGCTTACTGATACTTTCATTTTCAATAGCTCTGGATACTTCCTGTCCAGGGCTACAAAACTGTACACCACTACTTGATAGCCAAAATAATAACAATGATGAAGCATCACATTAAGACAATACATTACAAACATGCATCCTTCACAACCACCCTGTATGATTAAGCCAATACTATCTCCAATCAGCTGGTGAGTTCAGAGTACAGTAGGCAGATGCTCAATGACATAGAGCCTTTGCAGACTGCCAGAAATAATGCAGCTTGAGACCACTTTAA